TGAGACCCCTCTGCAAGGGGATCTCCAGTGGCCTACTAATGGGCTTTGGATCTCTACTCTGCACTCCCCCCATCATTCACTATGGTAGGATTTTTTGTTCTGATGATGCCTTACACCCTCACATTATTCTTAAGCAAATCCCTAACATGACAGAATTGAAAAGGAACTACTGTGGAACCTATACATGAAATGTTGATTTTTTTTGAAAGAAGAAAGAAATAGTAAACTCTAAGATCAGTTAGAATATACCTTTCTAAAATGAGTTTTCTATTCCAGGTAGTTAAGAATATTTAGGGTAAATGATTCTATATAATATCAGAGTTTTAAAATAATAATGTATCCTTTCTTAAAAAGACACAAGTAGGATTATTCTAGTTTGATAATTTAGAAGAGACCATATTCTGAAAACTACTCCAGGTGTAAAGTTAGCACTTGAGCATATCCAAATAAACTATGTTTGATGCAGTAATTTGCTCCAAAAAAAGGTGAGAAACCCCTTAGCAACCGCAAAAGAAAAGGAGAGCAGTACATTGAAACATGAGAGGGAGCAGCAAAAAAATCCAAATCCTGGATCAGAGAAGCAGCTTAGGAGCCTCTGCAAAGTCAGGGGAGCTCATGTTGAGGCCTTCTCGTATGTACAGCAGGATCCCCAATAGAGTCAAGAGATTGGTAACAACTCCATCCAGAAGTAAAGGTCTTTTCTGGAGGAAAGCATCTTTCACTTCTTCTTGGAATAGAGAGAGAACCCCTGAAAGCAGTTTCATGAAATACCTGAGGAGATTTAATACCAAGAGGCCATATTATTTAATATGTTCCAGAAAACTCAGAGCAAGGAACACTACAGATATGAAGCTAAGACAATTATTGTATACATCACTTTGAATATAAAAAACAGCACACCAATTTTGATGGAGCAGAAGTCAATGTATCCCAGATTTCTACACTCTTTGAGCTGCTGTCCCAGTCATCTCCAGCATCTTCTTTCCCTCACATTCTCTGCTTCTCCTTCGGGGTTTGACAGTTTTCTATAAATGTTCTACAGAATTCACATCCTCTACTTATGGTTAAGTTAAATCCTAAGGTTTACACCTCAGGATCTAGATCAGGTAGAAAATAGACAGTCATCGTTCTTCATCGCAGGACAGCTCTCTCAGATCCTCTTGGCCAGAATGTCTCCTCGTGGTCCATTCCGGACAGGCCCCTCTTGGCTCCCTGGGGACAGGTTTTCCTTGGCCACCTCAGAACAGACCCTTCTGGTTTTGCTGTCGTCACTGCCAGTTCTCCTCGCTGTCACTGCCTTTTGGGGGTTAGTTGCCACCAGCTTTGCTGCTAAGCCCCTTGGTTTAGGACTTCCTCATTGGCTTAGTGTGGCAGCCCTTGACTGTGGTACAGCCCTCGTAGAAGGTTCCTTGTCTTCTCACTCTTCTTCCTCTTCTCTCTTCTCTCTGCTTCTTCCTTCTTTCTGTCCAGAAATTTCTGTGGTTCTGTCCATAGTGTGTGTATGTGTACTTCAAGAAGTTTATGGGGCACTACCTTCCCCTGCTCCCCTAGCCCTGTGGCCATTTGCTAAAAAAGAAGAATAAAAGGATTTTTTTAAAAAAAAGAAGTTTATGGGAAGATTGCCATAACTTTTAATTCCAGATTTCCATGCACCCTTTGATGCCTCTTATATAAAATAGGGCTGAAAATTCTATGGACTATATATTAAGAAAAAATATGCATGGATTTAAAATCGTTTTTGCCCCCCACACCAAAACAAACAACAAACCTTATACCACCTTGTTATAACAGATCTATATAGGATCACGTTTGTGGTACTAAAAAGGATCAGGCATCAGTTTGAAAAGACCCCTTATCAGGGCAACATGAATTCTACTGAAATTGAAGAAAGAACAAGCACCAAATTCATGGTGAAAGAATGATAAAATTGTTAAGGCTTTAGGAAAAGTGTATGAAGACAATTTCTGCAAGAAATCTGAGGTTTATAAATGAATAATTAATTTTAAGAAGAAACGGAATTATGTTGAAGATAAAGGCCACAGTGATGCGCCACCCACATCAATTTTCTTTTCTTTTTTATTTTAATAAATCATTTTGGGGGAGGCTCTTACAGCTCTTAAAACAATCCGTATATCAATTGTGTCAAGCATGTTTGTACATATGCTGCCATCATCATTTCCCAAACATGTTCTTTCTACTGAGCCCTTGGTATCAGCTCCTCTTTTTTCCCCTTCCTCTACCGCACTTCCACCCGCCCACCCTCTTGAACTCTTGATAATTTATAAATGATTTTTGTTTTCATATTTTACACTGTCCACTGTCCACTGTCTCCCTTCCCCCACATTTCTTTTGTTCATCCCCTGGGGGAGTGTACATCGATCATTGTTACTGGTTCCCCCTTTCTCCTCCTTCTCTCCCCACCTTCCCCCAACCCTCATGGTATCACTACTCTCATTACTGTTCCTGAGGGGTTTATCTGTCCTGGAGTCTGTGTGTTGAGAGCTCTTATCTGTACCAGTGTACATGCTCTTGTCCAGCCAGGTTTGTAAGATAGAACTGGGATCACGATAGTGGCAGGGGAAGAAGCATTACAGAGCTAGAGGAATGCTGTGTGTTTCATCGGTGTTATACTGCACCCTGGCTGGCTCGTGCCCTCCGTGTGACCCTTCTGTGAGAGGATGTACAATTGTGTACAGATGGGCTGTGGGTGTCCATCTGACCCCCATTGTTTGCATCAAAATGGTTGTTTGTTTTTGGTCTTCTGATGCCTGATACCTGATCCCATCGACACCCTGTGATCACACAGGCTAGTGTGCTTCTTTCATGTGGGCTTTGTTGCTTCCCTGCTAGATGGCCACTTCTTTAACCTCAAACTTTAAGACCCCAGACACTGTATCTTGTAATAGCTGGGTACCATCATCTTTCTTCACCACGTTAGTGTATGCACCCATTTTGTCTTCAATGATCATGTGGAAAGGTAAGCATCACAGAATGCCAGGTTATTAGAACAAATGTTCTTGCATGGAGAGAGGACTTGAGTAGAGTCCCAATATCTGTCTGCTATATTAATACTTAACCTATAAATATACGTACATAGACCTATATCCCTATCATTATATACTAGTATATTTACATATGTACATACCTATGTTTATACCTCTATAAATATATTTTGCTTCATAGGTTTTTCCTCCATTTCCTTGTATTTTCCTCCTGTCCCATTATCATGTTCGACCTTCATTCGGCTCTCTGTACTTCCTCTCAGCTACGTTGCCCTTGATTAAACCCCACCAGGCATTCTATGCCCTCCTGGCCATCAATTTTAGATCTCTTGTTCCCTTGTCCCTGGGTTTGTTGGCTTCCCACTCCCTTTCCCCACCTCCTCCTGCCCCTTGTCGCACTGGAACCATCAGTGCCTACCTTATATAAATTGACGTGGGAGTAAAAACAGGAGGAAAAAAAAGCCTATGAATAGTTCCAGGTCTGTCTGCTGACCCCTATGAATGTTTTCTGATCGGGTCTGATGCAGTGCCAAGCCCTACCCCCACCCCCTCACCTCTGCCAATGTCCAAAGTGTAATTTCAGAATTCCTTGGGGACTTTCTTGCTTTGCTCCCCTTGCTGCTGTCCCTTTGTGTTATGCTCTGATGTGGGGGTGGGGGTAGGGGTCAGGGTCAGACAGGGTACAATTCCCAGACTGTATCTTTGGTGCTGCCCCCTATAGCTCTGTGGGTCAGTAAGAGGACGTCGTTTCTTGTGGTGGGGCCAACCGTACAATTGTCTGTGTGTTGGCTGCTCTGAGTGGGAATGTCACCCTCAAAGCTTGGTGGGCCAGGATATGCTGTTCTATTTCTCTGTCTCTCTCGTCCCCCGTTCCACCACCCCCCTCCCCCAGTTTCCTCCCATGTGGTCTAGAAAGACCTGTTACTCTCTCTGGGATGCATCTTCAGTGCTGTCCTCTATAGCCCATTCTTCTGGGGAGGCCAATTGAGCTGGGATAGGGGCCGACCTGACCTCACAGACCTCTCTGTTAGTTCGCTGTTAAATGCCAGTATCTTGCCCTCAAGGCTTGGCACACCAGGTTGAGATCTGGTCTCTCTAGTGCCCTCTTCCCCCAAAGCCTTTGTCTTCCCCACTTCCCTTTTTTTTTTGCCCCCCACCCCCACCCCTCTTTCCCCCTTTTTTATGTTGGTATGCTGAATGGATCATTTGGCTTGGTCTGTCCCTGCCTGTGTGCCTCTCCCTCAACCCGTAAAGTATGTATTAAATAGTTTTTCTTCTGATTCCACTGTGTTGATTGGATCTACCTTAGTGGACTCAACTTGTTCTTGGTCTTTTGTGCTTGGCTAACTTCACTTAGCATAATTTCCTCCAACTTTCCCCATGAGACAATGTGCTTCATGTGTTCATCACTGTTTTTTAGGGACGCATAGTACATGCCAGAGTTTTCTAATCCACTCGTCTAGTGATGGAAATTTAGGTTGTTTCCAGATCTTTGTGATTGTGAATTGTGCCGCAATAAACAATGGAGTGCAGATGACTGGTCACGGTCTATTTCTTCTCGGCACATGCACAATAGGGGGATTGCTGGGTCATAAGGTAGCTCAATTTCCATTTGCTTTAGATATCACCAGATCATTTTCCACATTGGCTGTACGTATCTACAAGACCACCAGCGGTGGATGAGAGTTACTATTTTGCCACATCCCCTCCTACACAGCATTTGTTGCTCTCTGATTTTTTTGAACTCGGCTATCCTCAGAGGTGTTAACTGGTATCTCATAGTTGTTTTAATTTGCACTTCTCTAATGGCTAATGATCGTGAACATCTTCTCATACGTTTATTGGCCATTTGGATTTCCTCCCTAGTGCAGCTTCTGTTCAGGTCCTCTGCCACCTCCTCAGAGGGCTCTCTGCTTTTTCTTGTTGCAGGCTATGAGGGTATTGTAAATTTGAGTAATAAACCCTTTGTCTGATGTGTCATTGCTAAAGATCTCCCAGTCTGTGGGTTTTCTTACTGTGATCCACCTTGAGTTTTGTCCTTGTGCATGGGATGAGGTAAGGATTTTGCTTCGTTTTTCTTTATGTAGATAGCCATTTTTTTTTTTCTAGCACCACTTGTTGAAGAGGGTATCCACTACCCATTTGATGTTTTGGGGGCCCTTATTGAAGATCAGTTGTCTATATGCTGCTGGTTTTATTTCTGGGTTTGTTGTTCTTTTCAATTGATGTGGGTATCTGTCATAATGACAGTACCATGCTGTTTTGACCACTGTGGCTTTGTAGTATGTTTTAAAGTCAGGTAAAGAAAGCCTTCTGACTTTTCTTTCTTATTGAGGAGTTCTCTGCTAATTCTGGGTTTCTTCCCTCTCCATATGAAGTTGGTAGTCAGTTTTTCCAGTTCTTTGAAGAAGGTTGTTGGTATTTGAATTGCAATAGCATTAAACTTATATAGTGCCTTGGGTAGGATTAACATTTTTACTATATTGACTCTTCCAATCTATTTCTGGAGGTCACTTTTGGTTTGTTATAGTAGGATTCTGTAATTTTCCTTGAGCAAATATATTGGATTTTTGTTGGTTGGGTATATCCCTATGTATTTCAATTTGTGCTTGGCTATTGTGAAGGGCACTACCTTCTTGATATTTCCTTCCGTGGTCTTGTCTGATGTATATCTCAATCCAACAGACTCCTGCTTGTTGATTTTGTATCCATCCACTCTTCCATATTCCTCTATAGCTTCCAGCACTCCTGTTGTTTTCAATGTATAGAATCATGTCGGGGTTTGGGGTTTTCAATGTATAGAATCATGTCATCTGCAAATAACGATTGTTTCACCTCTTCATTCCCGAGATAAATGCCTCTAATGTCCTTTCATTGCATTCTGTTGTTAGCTAGTATGATGTTGAATAGAAGTGGGGACAAGGGGCATCCTTGTTTAGTTCCCTTTCTCAGTGGGATTGTTTTTGTCTTTTCTCCATTAACTATAATGTTGGCTGTTGGTTTTTCATAGGTAGCTTGTATTAACTTGAGGAATTTTGCTTCCGTTCCTATCCTCTGGAGTGTCTTACTTAGGAATGGGTGCTGGATGTTGTCAAGTGCTTTTTCTGCATCTGTTGATATTATCATGTGTTTCTTAGCCATTTTATCTCAATGTGATGGATGATGTTGACAGACTTTTGGATTTTGAACCATCCCTGCATCCCTGGAATGAATCCCACCTGTTAATGATGGATGATTTATTTAATATAATTTTGTATTCTATTGCCCAATATTTTGTTAAGGATTTAGCATCAATGTTCATTAGAGATACAGGTCTGTGGTTCTCTATTCTTGTGGGATCCTTGTCAGGCTTGAGTATTGATGTCATACTATCTTTGTAGAATGAGTTGGGGAGTTCGCCATCATTTTCTATGTTCTGGTATTGTTTGTGTAGAATCTGTGTCAGCCCTTCCTTGAATGCTGGTAGAATTCTCCTCTGAAGCCACCTGGCCTGGGAGTTGTTTCACTGGTAGTTTCTTGATAACTAGATCTCTTTCTCCTATGGCTATCGGTCTATTGAAGTTCTTGACTGAGATATTCTAGGGAGAGCTTGTTATTCTAAGATTTTGTTCATGTCTTTTCTACTGAAAGAAGTAACCATGTAAACCAAAGAGTATGGACTTTCAGGTTTGTCTCCTTTTGTGTTAACTACATCAATGAATTCCTCTTAAATTAATATAAGATTATTCACCTATTATATCTTTCCTTTCTTAGGAAGTGTCATTAAGCAGGAGACTCAAAGAATGGTTAACTACTACATTCCCAGCAAGGACAATAGCTGGGCAAAAGTGAGTGTAGAAACCCCATCCCTTTGTAACATTACACTAATGATGAGAAGTCTTTGAGATCCAGGTGAGTAGAATGGGAGTCTGCCATTGTGGGAAGAATAGAGCATTTATGGGACTTCTCAAAGGGCCTGAATGAGTTTAATTGCTTGAGCTTTCTGATTCTAAATCCAATTATTATTCCAGGCCCTTTAAGAACATAAGGGCAGAGAGCTCCTTCTCTCTGTTTAATGATCTATGCTTTATACTTTCTTGCCTTCCTCTTCTATGCCTTTGTCCTCTAATTTAAATTTGGGAAGGAGTTGAGAGAATATCATGGGGTGGGCATAGGGGGTTGGCGAGGAAATGTTTCTTCTGGTTTGGGGATTATGAGAGAGATACTGCAAATGGTAACTGTATTTGTTGTTGCTCTTAAAGGTGTTTAGGGTTTTGGAGGAAGCAAAAGGGCAATTCAACTTAGAAGATTACTCCATCAGCCAAATCACGCTGGAGCAGGTCTTCCTGACTTTTGCTGTTCAAGATAAAGCAGAAGAGGGCCATAAAAATGAGATGGCATGAGATTTAGTTGCAACCAGTCATTCTTTGACCGCTCCCTCTAGCATCTGTATAGAGTGATATTTTTCTTTGTGTATTCTTGGTGTAAATATATTAATATAATAAAGAGTTTGTTAAAGGGGAGTATCTTTTTTTTTTTAGATTAGATCCAGCAGGTATAAATATGTGGACTTTTGATCTTTTGATGAATTTATATTTTTGTCTTCTAGAAGCAAAGAAAAGCAGCATTTATAAGGATAGGGACAAACACCTCCTCTTTAAGATTCAGAGCAATTAAATAGAAACACCCCGAAATGGGACAGTCCCGAGAGCAAGACATTTGTGTCTTAGTAGCTGAGTTAGGATTAGAATATAAGGCCTAAAGAAAAGCATCTTTTCTGTGAATACGAGCGCACACACACACTTTTATGCAAAAGATAGCTAATAAAAATAATTCCTGGAGTTTGAACAGTATGTTGGATTATTTGTAAAACCCAAACTAAGATATGCAATCTTGATTTCTAAGATAACCTTTGCCCTAGGTACTTGTAGTCTAAGACAGAGAGAAAAAAGAAGAAGAAGAAGAAAAACAAAACCTTAATAAATCGTGTGTTTTCCTTCACTTCTAATTAAGAAAAGAACAAGAAAGACAGGATTAAGGAAGGAAAGCAGAACGTTTATCTTTTGATTGTTATTTCAAAGATTGTTACTGTTGTGTATCATCAAGTCTACTTTGATTCCTACATATCCTCTAAGACTAGCGGTTCTCAACCTGTGGGTTGCGACCCCTTGAGGGGGTCGAAGGACCCTTTCACAGGGGTTGCCTGATTCATAACAGTAGCAAAATTAAAGTTATGAAGTAGCAACAAAAATACTTTTATGGTTGGGGCTCACCACAACATGAGGAACTGTAATCAAGGGTCGCGGCATTACGAAGGTTGAGAACCACTGCTCTAAGACAGAGTAGAACCTTCCCATAGGGTTGCCACATTTCTCTCCACCAGAGCCTATGAAGGGTTTAAACGACCAATCTTTTGATTAGCAGTTACAACTACTGTGCCACCAGGGTTTCCATGTCAAATGTAGCGTCCTCATAAACAACATAGAAATATAAGTACCTGTCTAGGATTTGTGAGCAGATCACTAATAAGTAGGGATGATCCTTGAAAAACTACAAGATGGGGAGTTCCTTATGCTGTTATTTTTGGGGTGGCTTACTTAAGGCTTCCTTGTCCTCAATTTCATATTATCAAGCGAAGAATATTGGAAGTGCCATGGACTGTCTTGGAAGAAGTAGAGCCAGAATGCTCCTTAGAGACAAGGATGGTGAGATTTTATCTCACATACTCTGTACATGTTGTCCGAAGAGACTAATCCCTGGAAAAGGACATTAGGCTTGGTAAAGTGGAGAGACAGTGAAAAAGAGCAAGGTCCTCAAGGAGATGGATGGATACTGTGGCTTCAACAATGAGCTCAAACCTAACAATGGTTCCTTGCATTGTACATTGGGTTGCTATGACTCAGAACTGACTGGATGACACCTAACAGCAATAACAACAAAGTGATGCCAAAAAGGAGGATATGTGAATGTATTTCTGTGAGGCATGAACAACTTGCGAATTCTATAAATGAAAATTCATAGCTTTTCCGGTGTGCCAAAATGCAAATCTATGGAGGAACTTGTCTAATTACAATATGGTTTTAGAGGTGATTGAGTCAGTGAACTATTAAGAAGAAGTGTTACTCACGTTTGATCTTAATAAATTGGAAATCAAGAATCCTCCTCAATTTAGTTTTAGAGTCAGGAGAAGGAAGACGGTAAGAAGTTTTAAGAAGTGTTTAAGCATCTGGTATTTTGAGTCTGAAAAATCGCCTTGGGGATAAGCATGAAGGATCACCGATCTTCCTACTGAAATTATGGTCATAAAATCTTGGCTGTATTTGAACTACAGAATTTACTTTCCATCCAAATTCCGTCTACACCTTTTTTGGAGGAATGTAAAGCCCTTTGTACTATACTGGCCATTTTAATCATAGGGAAGTTCGTGTGTTGGGGTAGCCCTCGGTGACTTCAGAACAGGTACGGCTAGGCTTACATCATAAAGGCCAAAATCAAGACTAAAAAAGACATTGATAAACCTGAGAAGCCTAAATAACTTATTTTACCAACCTTTACAGGTACTGTAGACTGAAATCATCTTGTGACCATTGTGCTAAGTCATTTTTGTTGTTCAGACCAGCAATATGTTGTACATCTAAAATAACTGTGCCCTGAGAGTTACTCAAAAGTATAAAGATGCCATAGAGAGTTATTCTTGGTACATATGTTCCTACATATTTTCTGTCCTATATTATGCCAAAAAGCTTTCACAAAATATCTGACACTCTTACCAATCTTTTGTAGATATTGAGAAATAAGGAAATTATCGTTTTTCTCTGGTCTTTGAATTTATTAATAATTATAACTTTTTATTACTCATGTTTATTCATGCTAATTTTTGAAGCTCCTTTTTTCTATTACGTATTTTCTTTATTGAGGCATCAGCCAAAATTTGCTTATGAAATGTTAATAAAACTAATATGCTTCCCTTTCTCTCTTCATTGAAAGAGCCTGGGATTGTGACATATAAAAATGGAAAGTTCTTGTTTTGCATGCTAATTTCAGCAAGTACTTCTGTTATTTATGAATGAGACACTGGAAAACATAATTATAAACCAATGTATTCATTGACATAAATGTTAAAATTCTAAACAAATTAGGTTCAGCAATGTATTAAAAGGTAATATAAACAGTTTGGGTTTATATAAAAAATGCACACTGATTTATAATGTAAATCAATCAATATACTTTACCACATTTTTAGAATAAAACCTAAAGTAGTTTGATCATCTCAAGATGAAAAGGGGTAATTGACCAATCAGATGTATAATTTACCAAGGAGAAGTAGACTAATTCAAGAATGACTATTATTATTCTTTCTTTTCAACACTGTATTAGAGGTTCTACCCAGGAGAGTTAGATTAATTCAAGAATGACTATTATTATTCTTTCTTTTCAACACTTTATTAGAGGTTCTAATTGGTGTCAAAATGCAAACTTTTGACATTTTTGGACAAAATCACAATCTTGAGGTTCATCAAGAACTTCACATGCTGGGAACTTTGAGTAGTTTATAATCACTAAGATTGCTATTTATAAAATTCTATTATCTTTGCCTACAGTGGATTTAAAATGCCTCACTAATGACCATGGTCTTTTTTTCCCATGCCAATTATTTTAAGTAAGGCTTCCTCTACCTGCAATTTGAGTGACATAAATAGGCAAAGCTGTCTAACGGGTTGGCAGTGATGTGTTTCTGAAGGTGGCTAAGGTTTGGGTGCCTGGTTTGTTCCTTAATTGGAGGTGAAATTTTTAGGAAGTGGAATTTTCGGTGGTTTGTCCTATCCTACAGGAATACACCACCACTTGTCTGTCAGTTTGTCCTACTGTGGTAGCTTGTATATTGCTGTGATGCTGGAAGCGATGTCACTGGTATTTCAAATGCTTGGTAAAGTAGAGGGGAATTGAAAAAGAGGAAGGCCCTCAGTGAGATGGACTGACACCTGCTGCAACAGCGGGCTCAAGCTCAGGAACCATTGTGAGGATGGTGCAGGACCAGGTAGTGTTTCCTTCTGTTGTGCGTAAGGTTGCTATGGATCAGAATGGGCTCCATGGCACCTGACAACCACAAAAGGTATATAGATCAAAAAGGACACACTGAAAAGTGAGATATCAGAATAAAGAGCCAATTATTTAGGTAAAACAGTCTATCTCCATTGTTGACTTTCAGTGTATTGTTGTAGACCATTCAGTTAATTCTGATTCATAGCAACGCACAGCGCTAATATTTACCACTCAGCATAGGGAGGAAGTTCTCAAATCTAAAAGTTCAATGAGTATCAATAGAAGTTTGTTGCTAAAGATTACTATTAGCTATAAAGTTGGAGCTCATATAATTTCACGAGGTCTGAAGGAGATGCATGATGATCTTTAGAATAGGGCTTGATATATACTGTTTCCTGGGCTGATCATTAGCCTTTCTGCTCTGGGGGCCTCTATTCAAATTTGGTTCCCCTGTCTAGTATCTTTGCAAACAACTTTT